CGCAGCGTCTACTACGTTTGCTGTTCGGCCGCGCCATGTAATCTGGGTGTCTGTTGACTATTAGCGGTGCCCTGGAAGCTGTATGTGTCACTCACGAGACGAAGCTGCTTCCTCTTCCTTCAGGGCTGCTGAGTCGAGCTTCTCCACGGCCTTGACCAGCTCTGCGTCGTCCTTTGGGAAGTACTTTGTCGCAACAGTCGGGACGCCCACTGTACGCGGGATGCGACTCTGGTAGGCAGCATAGCGGATGCTGGGGTCGGTAGTGCCTGCCAACACATCTTTGAACAGGTCCTTCCTCGTGGCCTTCAGCAGAGCGCTGTAGATGACTCGCGCCGCAGAGTACTTGGTGAGACACGGGGCCCAGCGCTGGGGCGTCGCGTTCTTGCTTTTGATGCCCTCGGCTTGCTTCTCAAACTCATGCGCTCCAGCCAGAGTGTAGGCATATGCCTTTGCTTCGAGCACATCCGTCTCCGATGCTCCGCTTGCGCTCGTGTTGGAGATGAGTTCAATAACCTGGTTCGCGTATTGTGTAGCCTTGTGTAGGCGCGAGAGGATGTGTTTACGCGTAGAGCCGGTGATGTTCTTGTCGGCGTTCTCGTCGGAGTGAGAGGCTTTCATAGCCATGGCCTGCGCCCATGCCCGTTCCGAGTTGAGCAGGAGCAGGTGAAGAGCCCTGTCACAGTCAGCTTCCGAGATCCATCTTCTACACGTGACTCGTACTCATTGTTGTTCTTGATATCCTCCGCCGTGACCGGGGCCTTTGCAGCATATTTCGCGTTCTTGGGTGTTGCCCGCCCGAGTTTCTTGTTCACAATGCGGAGACGTCGCGACAATTGCTCATGGTAGGTATTGTAATCGCCGATGAGGAACGCCGACTCCCGGTAGTCGGTCACGAACTTGGTGATATCCATGGCCGGGCAGCTGGTGTTAAGTGCAACTGTGGGGATGCGGCTGATGTGGAGGGGCATCAATTGGCGAGCTATCCATGGCCCTGCCAAGCGAATCGGAACCTCAGGTCATTGTCGCGCCGTAAACTTTTCGAGACATCATAGACATCGGGCCCGCCATTGCCACGCGCGCTACTCGTTCTTTCCCTTGTGTCTTTTGCTCTAGTCTCCTTCTTCTGAGTCAGCACTCTGTACATTGGTTTCCTCCTCCACCGTTTTTCCTGTAGTCCCCATCGCATAGCTAGAGGCATGCACAAGTGTGGGCAAACCCCATTACCCGGTCCTCTTGCCACCATATCTAATAGTTGCAGTTTATAGAACTCCTCACAGCCTCTGGTAATCTGCGCCTGCCCCATCTGCGCTTCCTACAGTCCAGGTGATGCTCGAGCGTGCTTCGACATGCCTCGAATCCGGCGGACGCCAGCTCTTCCGCGCTCCGAAGCCATGTCTACGCAGTCGGCGCACGTTGCACCCAACTCCTCGGCACCACGGTGCAAGCGATCTCACTCTCTCGCCTTGGCAGGTCGCATCCCCGACTATCGAAGAAACAGGTGGTGATGGTGGCAATGGAGCGGTGAACAAGGCCAACACAGACCAGAAAACCCACGAGGGTGTAATGCTCGACTTTCTGTACCCGGAAAAGACCCTGGCGCTTCTTGGAAGACTATCCGTAAACCCGCTCAGTTCAATGGAACAGAGGCGACAGCAGCCGTATGCGATTCGAGCCCGCCGTTTTTCGACAATACAGGCGCAACCTGTGCAAGATGAAACACAAATGGATGTGGATAGGGTAGAACAGGCCAAAAAGGATGCGGCAGAGCTATTACAAGGGTCGGATGCAATCACGGCATTGCAGAAGTACCTAGATTCGCCGTCACCTGAGGAGCAAGAGTTGGCCTGGCAGTTGTATACTAGCATCCCCGAGGATCGCTTGGCGGAAGTAGAGACACTGCAAGTACAGCTCCTGGACTATCTTGTCCAGGACGGTGAGCCTATAGTACCGGAGCGAGTCCTTCAGGTATTTGACGCGCTTCGCCCCGTCGCTCGACGGCTATCATCACATCGAGCAGCTATCAAGGCCTACGTTGCATTGGGGATGATAGGGCCGGCAGTTCGACTTTATGACAAGCTCGCCAAGCCCATTGCATCAGGAGGTCCCAGTCAGGTTCTACTGCATAGTGGCATAGATGCAATCCTTCGACGAGCCGTTCTCGACGAGCAGTGGGATCTCGCGTTTCGTGTCTTCAGAGAGTTCCATCGGAAAGCGCATTCCATTCGTGGTACTCCCACATACCACGCGATTCGCACCGGCAATACACTCCCAGAGTTGTGGGGTCAGGCTGCAACATTACCAGAACTTCTGGAACATTTCGAGTCTTTCTTGCGATACGTCAGGGAGTTTCAACACGAACTCACATCTACGCCATCCCGAGAGCGTGATTTGGCCTGCTTTGTCATGTCCTTCGTACCTCACGTAATGGATCGCGTCTTGCGTACGGAAAAATTCGACGATGATTTTGTTTGGGATTACTTCATCGGGCTCTTTGACAGTCTCCACTCTCTAAATCTCCCCACTTCAACTCTCTACGAGCACGCGATTCGAAAGATGTTGAACCTTCCAAAATACCGAGAATACACCAACCAGCGAAAGATTCCGCTCGAGCTATATAGAAGATACCGGCAACTTTATCTCTATGGGGACAAAAGCACTTCCGAAGGGCCACCATCACGGGTCTTGATCAGGTCTATGATCTATCAGCATTCTTCGAAAGGCGGCCTTGGACGTGTTCAGGATCATCTACACGATTTACGCACCTGGTACCCAACTAAGCCGCTACGGTCTGGTCTTCTCAAGTACCTGATTCATACGTATGCCAGGGTTGGTAATGTGGAGAAGGTGGACGAATACGTCAATGAGCTTCGATTACATCACCCAGACGAAGTGACAATCAGCGTACTCTCATCACTTCCGTATGTGTATGCACGACGCGCGGATGTCGATGGCACCATCACCCAGTTCAAACGCATACACGAAGAGTTTCAGATGACCCCGGATACTGCTTGTTGGAATATTTTACTGCTTGCCTACGTCCGATCCGAGGACCTCGATGGTGCTCTGGAATGCTTCAACAATTGCTTGGACTATGGCGTTGCACCAGACGTGAAAACTTTCGGGCCTCTGCTCGACTTTTGTGCCCATAGAGGTGATGTTGAGGCTTTCGAGACACTCTTCTCCAAAGCCAAGCAGATGGGCGTACAACTTGACACGGATGTTCGTGCAAGGGCGGGCTATGTCGAAGCATTTCTAAATGCGGGTGATCCAGAAGGCGCCGAAGCGATCGCATATGGCATGCTCAACAGTTATAAGGCAGGGACACTCCACGGATACCCTCTCTCACATACATGGAACTTGTTGATCCAACGGCGCGCAATGGACCGCGACTTAGCGGGTAGCAGGCAGCAATACAAACTAATGGTCGAGAACAACATCCCGCTGGATAGCTGGACTTTTGGCAGTCTGATGCGAGCATTAGTCGAAGTAAAGCAGACCAACGCTGCTTACAAACTGCTGAGAGTCACAATGCCGGAACAAGGATACCGGGTCCATGCACTTCACTACGCCATAGTGATGACCGGTTTCTTGAGGGAGGGGCAGTATCAACTAGCTGTGGAAGCTCACGAAAGGATGAAGGCGCGCCAGGTTCCTCAAACCGAGAGCTCCCGCCAAGCTTCACTTCAAGCGCTTGGTATGGCTGATTCCCGGCAGCTAAAGAGGAGAGGAGCCAAACATCCAAACTACAAGCTTCTTCGGGTCGAAGAGGCTCTTGAAGAGATGCTCGTCTCCAGTACAGCGCAAGAGATTGCGCACCGACAACCTGTACATGAACGATTCGACGATGTGGACAGCTTCGATGACCTTCGGGCGTCCTACTATGGCCTGATGATCTCGCTCTATAGCGCCAGATCAGCGTATAAACTCTGCAAGAAGCTTTTCCAAAAGGTCGAAGCGATGGCAGCAGAGTCCGGCAGCTACGCTATACCACTGACTCTCGTCACGTCGATGATGGAGGCGCATCTCAAGGCAAATAACCACGCCGAGGTCGCAAACTTCTGGGAACTCGCCCGCACTTCCGCCGCAAAACTCACCAAGACCTTCCACCAAGCCGTGAACCAGAGCGCCCCTGTGCCTGACGACACCTCCATCACCGACCCTTTGATCCTACAACGCTTCCAAGAAGCGCACATCTCCGACAACCGCCGCCAAATCCTAGCCAAGCCAGCTCGTATCTACATCCGCAGTCTACTCGCGCAATCCGACGCCGACAACCCCAACGCCGCACAAGACGCCCAACGCACCATCCGCGACCTCCTCGTCAACGGCTTCACAGTCGACAACCTCACCTGGAACGAACTTATCCAGCAACTCATCCACCGCAACCACATCATCGACGCCTTCACCATCTGCGAAGAATACCTCATGCCCCGCTTCCCCGGCTGGCGCGAACTCATCCCCAACTTCATCCGCAATGACCGCAAAGGTTTCCAGTGGATGGAGCTGCGTCCGAATGATCTCAACAAGGCCAGTGTGCTTCCGCGGTACAAGACTATTATCCTGTTGGCGAAGGCTTTTGGCCAGGTTAAGAGCGATGAGAGGAATGGGGTTGGGTATGATGAGGAGGCTGGGGCTTGGTTGGCGGAAATCATTGAGAATAAGGCGCCGTTGACTATGAGGGCTATTGATTCCATGCCTAGGACTTTCGATAAGTTGCAGCAGAGGCATTTTGGTGTTTTGTAGAGACAGTAGTCTGTATATATGTAGATTATGTAGTAAATTACGATCTGAACGCGTTGTATGTACGAAGGACTTGGCTGATGTGAAATCTGATAATGATGGTCTTCCCACTGTGGTCAAGAACGCGCGAAGATGGAAGCAACCACCTCGGCATTTTCGGTACAATGATGCAGCGAGAAAACTACGTACCCCGAGTGTAAGAACACGTGTGTGCCCATACAACAACATTCAAAACAACCCCATATATTTCCAAAGCAACAATGCGTTTTCCAAACCCTCTCAATGCAGACTGGGCATGGCCACTTTACAGGGATGGGCCCATCGAAGGAGCCTTCGAACTCGACCTTGCCAATGGCATCGACGAGGCCGTCGCAACAAGCGTCACACGTCCCTGGCTCTTCGCCTTTAAGCCCACCACGTCTACACCAAACGGACGAAATATCCTTATTCTAGGTGGAGGAGGATACGTCGAGCTCATGGTGGGAAGAGAAGGTGTGCAGGTAGCGAGATGGCTGGCAGGGCTAGGATTCCATGCCTTCGTGCTCATACATCGTTTTCCGAATAAAGAGACGGGCATTCAAGCGCCAATAGACGACGCCAGGCGGGCGCTCACAATGTTCTATGAGAAGGGCTTTGGAGTACGCCCTATGGGTGTATGCGGTCTCTCATCTGGTGGTCATCTCGCTGCATCGCTACTCTCGACGTATCCCACCTGTTGGAGCAACCCGAATGCGGAAAGTGGTGTTCCATACCTCGAATTCGCTATCATTGGCTATGCGCCCATCTCGACGAATGCAAAAGGACGCCAGGTCATGGCGGGTAAGCCAGCGCTGGAGCCGCCGGAGAAACAGGCGCTTTACGATACCGTGCAGCCAGACGTACAGTTGGAGAGCAGAGTTCCGCCAACCTTCATAGTGTATGCTGCAAACGATCCGGTTGTGCCGGTGGTGAATGCATACAGGCTGGCTGAAGGCATTATGAAAGCTGGTACCCCTGTAGAGCTTCACGTCTTCTCGGATGCGCCGCACGGGTTCGCATTGGACACGCAGGGACTTCCGGTGAGCCATTGGCCGAGCATGTGTGAGAAGTGGATGGATCAGAATGGCTTCATAAAATAAGTGCCAGGCATTGGGCTATACGGTCGTCTGCTCAGCGGAGAACGCGACGTAGCCGTATCGCAAATGAACAATTCCTGCAAGCTCTCGCATACTTAGGCACATCTAGTGAGATCAGGCCGGGTCTGTTGTCTGCCTGCTTCAAACGACAGCCGGATGCGGATCAGGCTGAAACGGGTGAGTCGGCAAGGAAGCAGCAAGACATGTCAGTGAGTTCAAGCGACATTCGTCACATGTAGTATGGAGTCGATGGTTGTGGTACTCGCGTGCATGCGATCCAAAGTCAAATGGGGTATGATGTGGCTGTGAGGCGTGTGGCGAGTAAAAATGTTAAGGTGGCGGGGAGGTGGTCAGGTCTGGGCAGGAACCGACGCCTAGCGCAGAAGGCGGGCAGGGTGACGTACCCACCTTTCGGTCGCGCCTGCCCGCGCCTAGAGGCAGCATCCCTCGCGCCTCGACTCCCGCCATGAGCCAACACGCAATATTGCTCCTCGATACTTCAGACGACCGCCGGAATAATGGTGCGCATAACAGAGAGACGACGCCATGGGAAATCGAACTGACCATCGCAGGCGTCGCTTTTGCGGCAACTCGTAGCCGGCCCTCGCGCCAGGCATGCTGAAGCTGGCCTCGACCTGTGCTATGTAACGGACAACAGTACAGTCGCCCCAAGAAGGTTTCCAGTGTTTGCCCTCTGACAGCGTCTAGTAATCGCTACTTCGGGCCCTAGCGGCACGTACCCGCAGCGCGCCTATCGCAACCCGCTTGACTCGCTCGTAAAGTTTCTCGACTCGAAACATGGCGACGATTGGGCCATATGGGAGTTTCGCGCTGAAGGGACGGGCTACCCCGACTCGGAGGTCTACGGTCGCGTCTACCATTATCCCTTCCCCGATCACCACCCGCCGCCTTTCGCCCTGATACCGAACATCATGGCCAGCATGCGCAACTGGCTCCATGAGAAGGAGGGGCGGGTCGTCGTCGTGCATTGCAAGGCCGGGAAAGGGCGATCGGGAACTGCTAGTTGCAGTTACCTCATCAGCGAGGAAGGCTGGCCGGTGCACAAGGCTCTGGACCGCTTCACCGAGCGGCGCATGCGTCCCAACATGGGCAAAGGCGTCAGCATTCCCAGCCAACTCCGATGGATAGACTACGTGGATCGCTGGGCCAAGCACGGCAAGTTGTATGTCGAGCGGCAGGTCGAAATACTTGAAGTGCACTGCTGGGGCCTCAGAGACGGTGTCAAGATCCAGATCGAGGGCTTCGTCGAGGATGGCAAGCTCATCAAGAACTTCCACACCTTCACCCGCGACGAGAGGGAGATTGTGCGAGGCGAAGTCAAGACCACCGGCATGGCACAGGCAGTGCAGGAGGTCATGTACAAGAACGGCTTCGGCCCATCAAAGACGAGCGAAGGCCCCAAGAATGGCTCGACTTCCTCCCTCGAGCAGCAGCAGCAGAGCAATGTCGATGGCGCCACCACGGCCGAGCCAAGATCGTCACGCGAGAGCCTACCCACGGGCACGGGCGACGTCGTCTTTCGTCCCGCCAAGCGCGTAGTCTTGCCCACCAACGACATCAACATTGACGTCGAGCGTCGTAACAAAGCCGCCTTCGATCTGACCATGGTCACCGCTGTCGCGCACGTGTGGTTCAACACATACTTTGAAGGGAACGGCCCTGAGCAGAATGGCAATGTCGACCAGTCGGGCATGTTTGAGATTGCATGGGAAGCCATGGACGGCATCAAAGGCTCATCTCGAAAAGGCACACAAGCTTTCGAGCGCATAGCCGTAGTCTGGCGCGCGCTCTCTAGCGAAGAAGGCCGACCTGGTGTTGTCATTACAGAACCGAAGGAGGGTGAGCCTGTGCAACAAGCCGAGCCCGCAGATTGGAGGGGTACCAAGGGCGTGGAGCCGTCCGAAGACAAAGATCTAGGCGTCCGCACAGCGAGCCCACCCAACGAGAAGTCAGACATCAGCCGAGCAAACAGCGTCCGAAGCGAGAACAAGAAGGGTACCACCATTGTCGAAGCTCCCGGCCGGAGGGACAGCGGTGATAGTGACACCAAACATGTCCGACCACATGGTCCGAATGGGGAAAAAGTCCTGATGGAGCCGAACGGTTCTGCTTCTCGAACAAGCACAGACGCGACAAGCAGTGGGCCGACAACGGCAATCTCAGACCCCACGCAACCAGATCGTCCTGACAATTCTAGTCATGTTGCTAGCCATTCGCGATCCGCAGACCAGCCTACTGGGTCACACCAGAGCGGGGGCCACATTGGCGGAATTGCGGAGAGCTTGAAGTATCACGTCTCAGGAGCAGCTCACACCAACGATCTACCTGATGGAAAGCCTGAGAGTGAGATGAAGGATGCGAAGGAGCATGGCCTTGGGCACATGCATTTTGGCAAGAAAAAGACAAGTTCGTAGGTGCCTATACCGTTACGGCGACGGCAAAACTCGTGCATCACGTCGTTGTCTTCGGTAATGCGGGGCGTTATTTGGAGCTGCATGACAGAACCGGAAGCTTGCGGTTGGCGTCTGGTCAGCGTATCACATGTGCGCACGAATCGTGCTTTGCGCGTGTTGCATGGCGCTGTATGCATTGATGAGGCGTTGTACAGCGCGCTTCTTTCGTTATGAGAAAGTGTTTTGGGTTTGTAGGATTGAGGTTGGTTTCGCTGTTTCTCAGATACACCACTTGCTTTCGATCAACTAGGGAACAACCAATACTTCTGATTAGAAATTCGTCGACACCAAGGATTCTAATGTATGCGCGACTGTATATTCGTGCAGCATGGAAGAAGTGAGGCGAGCGTCCACGGGTGCTCGGTAATGCGCTCGATACCTAGCCGATGCAGCTCCTGCGTTCCTTCCTGGTGAGGCAGGGCCACTCAGCGCGACACACGAACGACCATCACTGCAGCTCAGCAGCAGCCGATGGGAACACAACGTCAACCGATGAGCCACTTTGGTAATATGCATGTGCTCAGAGAGCATAATGCGTCTTTGTGTTACCGGAAACGCAGGGAAGTGTGATGTAGAGACAGCCGCAGCGCCACCGAACCAGTCCACAGGTATAAGAGCGTCACGCAGTCGACGGCCGAGTTCTGTGATCCCGCATAAATGGCCTCGAGAACGAGAGGTGCAGATACACCATGAAAGACTGATTGGGACCGGCGAAAGCGAGCGCGTCCACACTCCTGCAAGGCTGAAGGCATTGTCAGACGAGGCTGAGCTACGCTCTGCCTTGACATTGGTTACCTCCTCACCGGTCATCACGACATCGCTCTTTTTTTTTCAGCCTGTCTATGCATTATAGCCTGCTCAGGCCAATACATCGACGAAACGTTGCTCCTACAGGAAGGTCGTGGCTAGGCAGCAGATTCGGCTGAAAGAGTTCATTAGGTATGTGCGGCCTCCACTCCACCACCACCCTGTACTGATATGGTGATAAGACGATCTATTCGAGCAAGCTGGCTCCCAACAAGTTCAGCCTTGTCGGAGTTCGCTATTCAGAGCTCGTCATTTGCCAGATCCCGAATTAGGTACTGCGGGGTAATCGAGAACGGTAATACAAGACTGCAGCCTAGTAGTGTGTTGTGTGGGCGAGAGATCTGATTAGAGAAAGTTGTGGGTCGGGAAAGGAGGCAGAGTGAGGTTAGGCTTCACCTTGCGGCTCTGTCGGTGGATAAAAAGGGTGTGAGACCTAGGTCCTCCTCTTGTCTCAGCCTTGAGACTGTCTCATCTGCAATTGCTACATTTCCTGAACGAGCCGGACCCCAAGTTTACGTGTTACGACTTCTTCCAGGTCCTTATCTCCAGCAGCATATTCAACAGTTAAGCAATAGCAGAAAGCCAGCCTCGCATCTTGGCAAGTCTACGACCCATGAACGGACCGGACAGTTCAAAGACTTCTTCCACCAAACCTTCCTTACCTGCCAAAGCTAGCAAAAAGCTTTCCGACACCTCATCATCGTCACCAGTCATTGTTGCAACCCCGTCCGTGAAGTCCGACCCGGACGACATCTCGCTGCACGAGCCAAAGATGGATTCCTCTCAAGAGACTGTCGAAGCTCATGTGGCTGATACGGCTCAAAATACCGATGAGAAGCAGGCAGCTGTTTCTGTCGAGCATACTGAGGTGCCAAAGTCTGAGCTAGTCGTTGCGAAGAAGAAGAGTGTCAACAGGCGAGGGAAACACGCATCAAAGAAGTCAAGGCGTAAAGCAGAAGAGACGTCTACATCGGACGATAGTGGCTCTGAGAGCGACAGTGAGTCGGAAGAGAGTAGCGAGGACGAGAAGGCTAAGCGTAGAAAGAGGCGGAAGTTGGCTGCGAAACGAGCAGCAGTGAAGAAGAAGCAGCGGGCGAAGGCGAAGAGCAAGAAGAGCAAGAGTAGGAAGCATGATTCAACAAGCGAGGATGAGAGTTCGGCTGATACCTCCGACTCAAGTTCGGACTCAGATTCAGAGGCAGATGACAAGAAGAGCCGCCGGAAGGCCTTGCGAGCCAAAGCCAAAAAGAAGAAGAACAAGAAGCTCGACAGCTCTAGCGAAGACAGTGCCTCTGACACTTCGAGCTTATCCGACAGCGATACAGATTCCGAGGATGAGAAATCGAGACGTAAACGCGCAAAGGCGAAAGCCAAGCGGAAGGCAAAGAAAGCGAAGAAGGCTGAATTATCTGAATTTTCGTCAATGACATCGTCTTCCGAGGACGATATCGATGCGCCGGCTTCACCGCCAGAGCCTCCGTTGCCAGGAGATACCCTTGACACACAAGTGACCAAAGTAAGTGGTCTGCTCAACAGTCTCAAGGCGCAACAAGCTTCTCTCAACGCTGCCGCTGCCGCTGCCGCCGTATCCACTACGAAGCTTGATAAGCCAGTCAAGAAGAACGCCCTCGAGTTCAAGCGCGTCGACCAGGTTTTCGACATGAAGATACGCGATTGGAAACTCGTCGAGAGTAACGCCGACCAAAAAGACGAGTTTGACTGCGTGTTCACCGTGCGCAGGAGACTCAACTGGGAAGGCAAGTATCAAGAGACACAACTGGATGTCAAATCCAAGCTACTTCGCAACGCACTCCAAGAGGTTTTCAAGGACTGCAAGAGCATTAGCCTAGTGGAAGACATCCCGCAGATTGATCCTCACACGCTGTTCCACTACTACGACGAATTGAAGACCTACATCAAGAAGACGCTGAAGCCAAAGCTGAAGAAGGCAAAGAAGTCGAAAGAGCAGAAGCGCGTCAAACAGCAGATTGCATCATGCAAACTGCTTCTGAGTTACATTGATGAGGATTACACTGCGACGCGCAAGGCTCTCCGGCCCATGCTCAAAGCGGGTACGATCACGTACGACCTCGTTTGGGCATTGTTCAAGCCTAACACGATCGCCTTCACTCCCACGTATCACAACAAGGATGATCCGCGATGCTTCAAGGTCGAGACCGCGTATGAGTATGAGAGCTGGATGACGGGTGTCAAGTCCTGGTATGTAGATGGCAAGTATCTTGAGTATGATGGCAAGTCGTTTGGTCTTGGAGACCATCAGATTACGATTCAAGCGTTCAAGGGGCACAAGAAGATTACCAGTCTCTCGGCCTATCCGTTGAAGTACCACAAGGATCCTGAGGTGAGTCGTTAACCGGTTGATCGGGCGTTCATTAGCTAATGGTCTTGCAGAGCATCAAGAAGCAACTCGTCGACCGAGGCAAGAAGTTCGTCGCTCTCCAAGGCATGAACTACCGCCTTCAGAAGGGCATTGCGTACATGAAGCACAAAAACAACATCATCCGCTTCATCATCAACGGCCGCGTCATGGTCGATCCCGCCATCTTTCGCCGCATCAATCCCAACTATCCGCTCTCGTACCTCAAACAAGACGAGCTTGCACAGAATGAGGAAAACGACGATGACGATGACGATAGTGACGACTGCTGCTGTGGATCTGATGAGGGCGACGAAGACGAGGAGAAAGATAAGATGCGCATCGTCATGTGGAAGGACAAGAAGGGCAAGAAGCATCCCATCCGCGTGCCACAGAGCGTCATCGACAAGGAAAAGGGCGACAGTCCCGACAAGCAAGTCGAGACCGACGAAGACGGCTCAGAGAACAAGCAGCAATGCTTCACCGAAGAAGAGCTCCTCATTGCCTCTCCCGTCGTCCTCGGTTTCGCCTTCTCGGAGAAACTCTGGCTCGAATTCTCGCTCGCCGGCATCGACGACATCAAATGGAACGACGAAGCCTTCTCCAGCCTCGTTCTGCCCAGCCGCATCAAGCAGAACCTCAAAGGCCTCGTCTCTTCTCACCGCTTCAACGCCGCAAAGACCATCGACGACGTCATCCAAGGCAAAGGCAAGGGCCTCAACGTCGTTCTCCACGGCCCACCCGGCGTAGGTAAAACGCTGACCGGCGAATCCATCGCCGAGTACCTCAAATGTCCGCTCTACGCCGTCTCGGCAGGCGAACTAGGCACCAACAGCCGCTCACTCGAAACCGATCTAAACCGCATAATGGACATTACGCATTCGTGGGGCGCTATTCTCCTCCTCGACGAAGCAGACGTGTTTCTCGAAGCGCGCCAACCCCACGACATTCATCGCAACAGCCTCGTATCTGTGTTCTTGCGTCTAACAGAGTACTACCAAGGCATCCTCTTCCTCACAACAAACCGCGTGGAAACCTTCGATGAAGCGTTCCAGAGCAGGATCCACATGGGTATCCGATACGACAACCTGGAAGCCAAGGCGAGGAAGAAGATCTGGCAGCACCATATCGGCAAGGTGGAGCAGATGGGTCGTGACGCCGAGGCCGAGAAGAAGAAGGGTAAAGATAAAGACAGTGATGAGGAGGGTACCGCGAAGGATGCGAAAGAAGACAAAGGTGCGAAGGTGATGAAGCCGTTTACCGAGGTGGACTTTGATGAGCTGAGTAAGAGGAGTATGAATGGGAGACAGGTATGTTTTGCTGTTGTTGGGGTGGTGTGCGTGGGTATCGGCTAACAATTCCTGCAGATTAAAAATACGGTCAAGACGTCGCAGTCGATTGCGCTTGCGGAGAAGTCGGTCTTTAGTATGGAGCATGTTAAGCGTGTGCTTGAGGTTGCTGAGGCTTTCGAGGATGATATGCGCGGTGGTGGGGGTTACCGTGATGCCAAGAGGATGTATACCTAAGGCGGGTCTCTTTCACCGGACGGACTGAGGTTGCCTTTTTGAGATATCTTTCGCTTTCGATTGGATGTGATGGATGCTGGTAGGTCCTTGAGCGGCTTGCTTCTTTTGTTTATACGTCTCCTCTCAAGTATATTATTGTAACGTCGATTAATTCTTCGAGGTCCATGACAGGTCTGCACGCTTCGTTCGCGGTTGCCTCTGATACGCGTGGCTCCTTCCAAAGTGACAGTAGATGTGGGAAGGCGCAGACG